TAAAGTTTTTGCCTTTATTGCATACTCTTTGTTAATTTACCAATTTTTTTATTGCATATTATTAAATATTTTTTAATATTATAGTTAAATTTATAGTTTATATATTATTTAGGTCAGTAAACAATCGGTCATTCACTGATAACAATTGTTTATGTGTATATCTCCGCTAATGTGGTTTTGTGACTGTATATTACGAGATAGGTCAAGCCGCTAAACCCAACATAAAGTTCGTGTAAATCTTCGGCTAAGCGAGAGAAATACAGTTTAAGCACGAGCTCGCATCGTCGCCTTTAATCTAAGTTTGCCCCGAACAGTTCCCTGTCCGCCACACTACTGCATAATGAAATCGGGACAGGTTCAGAACTCACAAAGTTGTGTCGTCGATACTGTCAATAATTACATTCACATCATACTACTACTCTTGTGTACAATTTCAATCAATACTTTGTGTTACGTTGATAAAAACATGTATTCAGTTTCACGCAACTTTTTCCATAGTGTCTTATAGGATTTTCTGTCGACCTTTTTATGCGCTGCCCTTATCTAACGAGCAGTAACATTTATCTAGTATCTGTCACTTAAAGCCTTTGCTCTCGTGTAAACGGGTAACCTTATTTTTTGCTAAAGGGCCCGAGCTATCAGTTGGTCCCGCGACACAATATTACCCTGCACGATATATCGCGTTCGAATCACGCCATCGTTCACTCGCTGCCGTTGGTAGGGCGTGGCTCTAAATGAGGAGTTTACAGGGAGTTCGCATAATGCCTCTGGCAGAGATTGGAGATGCATAGTTCTTTTTGTTTGTTGACAGGTCCATCTCACAAAAAATAATATTGTATTATTCTTATTTAGGTTCCATTTTTAATTATAGAGATGCTTTAAAAAATTGCCGTCTTATAAAAAATGTTATAACAACATTAACATTATAATAGGTTTGTATATTTTATAATAGGAGTCAATAAGTTCTTTCTTGATAATTAAAATGTATACGGAAATAACAAATTATAGATTGCGTTGTGTAATATCAAATATATGTTTCGGATTAAGCTATGAACGCTCATAACTTTTGCTTACCAAAGTATGGTAACAATTAGGTAGCAATTATCTGTGAATTTTCAAAAACAAATGAACAATTTTCAATGTTTTTTGATTGATTATTTAAAAAGTGCTAAGCTAGCTAACTAATACATGGTTTTGTAGTTTATATTATGACGTTCACTCGTATTCGTAAATATTTTTTTTATCTTTAAGTAAAATTTTAAGGTCTTGTTATCAATTTTTATAGTACTCGTAATAGTAATAGAGTAATAAACTCTTACATAGTTAACACATATTTAATGAAAATAATTTATATTAATGAAATCTTCCTGCGAAATAAAGTATAAATAAATAAAGTATTATTTAATCTGTGATGAAACCTTATACAGTTTCTACGAATAAACCGAGTATAGTATCACTTTATTGCCATAGCATGGTACACCACAACATATCTATATCATAAACGTGTACAGGACATGTGCAGGGACGAGACCATTATCCAGAATCCAGAGCGTGATGGATGGACGGTTACAGAGTCATACTATCGTTATATGTAGGTACAGATAGTAATTTGTTATTAATCTAGTTATATTCGCAATAGAAAAATACATTTGTTATATAACTGAGTGACAGAAATCAAAAACATTAGTGTAAATTAATAATTAGGAGCAATAATAAGTATTCTAACATATTCAATCTTTTAATTTTTTTAACTGTGATTTAAACAGCACGGGGACTTTAAGGCCTTATAACATATAATAATATTTATTAAATATAATATAAGAAATATTGAGAAGCATCCCAACGAGAGAGGAATAATTTTTAAATATTCAAAAGTACGTACATACTTATATATTGTCAATACTATAGATCGTTTCTCTTAAAAGCGAGAAGAAGAATAAATGTAGCTAGGTGTATCATCTATTTTCACGTGTGATGTTCTTACATATATTATTAGATGTTGAACATGTAAGTAGATATAAGCAACACTACGACAGAGCACTTAGTGGCGCGCGTTCGAGGCGGGGTCGCATCAATCACAACACAATTTTATATCAAATGTCGCTCTCAATCAATTTGTGCTGGGATCGTGTTCCCTACTAGACTCTAACTACAGCGCGCACCTTCTTTTTGCACTCGTCTATATGATAAGGGAGCTTTGCTTTTAGAAATAGACTACATCTCTTATAAAAGTTATGGATATATATGAATAAAAAAGATAGGTATTAATATTATATTAAAGGCCGTCAACGTCTGAATTTTGTCTAAGCTGAGTGAATGAACTACGAGTATTTTTATATCGATAAAGCTACAACAAGATCTGTAAATGTTTTGTAATTTTTAATAAGAATTTAATATATATAAAAATTGATCATATATAAAAGGAGTTGTAATGTCTAAAATATTAGAGAATTTCGTTCGGTTGCAATTTGACCGCGTGAACTAGATAACTAAGCATAAGTACATACCTACCTACAATCTTCCTTCTTGGTTCCTTTGTTTCGATTTTCGTGTGTGTAGATGACTAATATCGGGTGACGGTGTAATACGGTCCATGCGCGATGTGACGCCACCGAGGAAAGTTAACTTTCCTAATGGATAGCGTAGTTTTCAGGAAACCACTACAGATAATTAGAGTTAGCTGTTTCCATGACTGTTCTTAATTGACAACGACGTACCTTCCTCGTACATAATAACTTATTATGTATCATAACATTATTATAATGACAAGTATCTTTTTAGATATAAATTTCATGTTTTTGATTAACGGTTCAGCGTGTTATAAATGAGAATGACACACAAGTAATATTTCGAACAATTTGAATTTCAAATGCGTTTCAATTTTCTTGTGCTGCCTTATAAATGTGTTTTCTGAGAATAATAAATAAAGAATAAAATTATAATTTTATATAATATGAGTTTATATTATGGAGTTAGTCTTTAGGTACTCTAAGCGCACAAAGGCGTTTGTTTATAAAACAAAACAGCCGTTTGCTTGGTCTCGTAGTTCGTATTGAAAGTCTATGAAAATAATGGTCTATTAAAGCACTGCCTGGCATACACTCGACAGTAAGGCCTTGTGTGTCTCGAACTATTGTTCGTTGGTCGTCATTTTATGCACACATATGTTGGTTGTACGCGTATAAAAACTAGTGTGGTTTACAATACCCGAATCATTGGGACTTTCGATTAAAATCATATTTTTGTATACATATGGCAGTATTATGAACAAAATTAGTCAAAGGAGAGTAGGAACTCGCGTCACTATTGTCCCACATTTAAATGTTTGTTTTTTGATTCACACAGCACAGACACAATTTAATTGAATTTTAAAAATGTGAATTATTTTTTAACGACGATAAACTATAAATTAAGATATATATTATCATCATCAGCCTTTAACTGTCCGCTACTGAACATAAACCTGCCCCTTGGGGGGGTTTTCCAGTAGGCCACGCTTAGCAGGCGGATTGGCAATTTTAAGAGGTACGAAGATGTATATAGAAATTATAAATTTTTAAATAATTTAGTTATTCTATAATTCTTTAATAATTTCGTCACGATGGTCTAAGAATAATGGTTAATAATTTTTATAGTTTCAAGAAATATTAATTAGATTTGTAACAACTCTAGTAAATGAACCCCATATGCCAGTGTTATAAAGTATTTTATTTTATATCCCAATTTATTTATAGTAAAAAGATTTACTTTTTAAAAAAAGAAGTTTCAAACTGAAGGCTGATTCTAAAGTTAATTGTTCAGCTATGTGGCTTATTATGTAGTATTCCTATTTTTTGCTTTCTAGCAACAATATCATAGTGACAATTGTAGGGGGCGGGTTGGTTGAGATAAACTATCTTATCAAATGTTATCTCGAGGGAGGCCAACTTGATCGATACAGTGTAGGTATGTTTTTAAAATTAGATTTTTATGACGTAAAAATAATATAAAAAAACCTAATATAAAATAATATTTATTTATATCTAAAGACAACGATGAAAAATGCCTTTTTTGTTTACCTATAATTGTGAATCAACATAATAGTTTTTTTGTTATTCTTTTCACCAACTGCTGCAATTCACTGACTTGTTTTTTTTTAATTTATTTATGAAATTAAATAAAATAATAATAAATAATAATATTGAGTAAAAAAATTTACTACTTTCACATATTGGAAATAATGCTTATAAAAGAAAATCATTGTTATAACGTATTGTAAGAGCAATATGTAAACCGCTAAATATTTATACTTTAATGGAGAGTTAAGTTCCCTTTTAAGAAAATCAAGCTGTTATAACTAAAATAATGTATAAGAACAGAAAAAGAATAATGAGCATTAGTAAAACAAAGATTGAACATATAAAATTTATTTTTTATTAATGCTCATGTTCCCAGCGACGTATTTTATTAGTTCTAGACACTTTAAACGGTCTAATAGATGTTTATTGATGATTGACTAACAATGCGCGTGAGTTTTTAAAGGCGCGGCTTGATACTTTAATCAAGAATATGTGTAGAATCGGTGTAATAAAATATATATTGTATACTCTATAATCATATACTTATTACAGAATATACTATTTATGAAAAAAAAGTAAAAATAATCAAAATGTTTTGAATAAATACATTAAGTGCAAACTCACCATTTCGTTGCTGGTTTCCATATCACTTACGCACAAAACCAATAAATACTAAAAATAACGACATAAAAAAGTTCGTGTTGGTCGAATGCAATTGCAATACGAGACGTGAAATAAAATGGTAAATAAAATACGATGGAAATAACGACTCGCTTTATCGTGAAACATTCAATTAATGGATTGTTTCAATTGTTTTGTAACGCGTACGAGCGCGGCCTGCGGAGGCCGAGCGTGATATGATGGGGAAATGAGGCGACGGCGAGCTGAGTCGACCGTCGGCGGCTGCCGCGTCCTGGTGCTCTGTGCTTCGGGACTAGAGCACTCCACACGCGGACCCATATAACCGCACACAGGGTGATGCTATGGCGGGCGGGCGGTTATAAGCGGACAAAGCGGGGCGGTACCGATAAATAAACATGATAATATAGCATTAGATATCTATTTAAAACTGCACTTTACATGGCTATTAAAAGATAACCATAGACATCTGTTAAAGGACCTGGCGTTTATCTCTACCAGAGCACAGTTTTAATATATTTAATTGATTGAAATTTTATTTTTCTGCGGCAATAATTTAACGTTCGCATATAAAATTTTCTTAACAAGAGAATATGAATTATAAATCGATATACTTCATATCTAGATAAGATGATAAATGAAGTGTGACTCACTGTGTAGACTGAAGGCCCTAGATAAGGTTTCGCACTTGGAAGGCACGTCGAATTGTGGCTTCATATTCGTGTAAGGTACATTAACCCCTTGAATGATTATAACCGTAAGTGCCTTTTCCTTAATATGGATTATATTATAGCCGTATGGTTTCTGATAATTTAATTAAATTATAAACAAGTAAATGATTTAGATGTAATACTTAATGAAACTTATTTTGGTGACAGCAAAGTTGACTGGATAAGTGAATTATAATTTCTTTTTTCGAATCCCTTCTAATTAATCTTACAAGCAACTATTATTGCATGAATTATTTGGTATACATTAATTAAATAAGATTAATTATTAGTATATTTCTTCTAACCTTATTTATATACCTATCTAAATAAATGTTTCTAATGAAATATATTTAATAAGATTAATTAAATTGTAACGATATTACATGACCATCGATATACAAAATATACAAGTTTTATTTTTTATACCGTATAATATTTATGTGTGGTCATTTTTTATTTAATTATACGAATTGTATACAGATAGGCAATATTCTTGCCATATACAGTACTTGATATACTAATTCACAAGAGTAAAGTCGCGGGATGCATACAGCTAGCAGAGTCATAATTTTATTTGAACAATGAATGAAAATGATGATACATAGAGGTTGTCCTAGGGTTCATATCGATATAAATGTCAAATTATCAAATATTTTATAATAATAAGTGTAGTGTAAGGTATTCTGTGTATATTATAATATTAATTTAATTTGTGATTATTTTATTATAAAATTGCAAGTGGGAGTAAATGAGATAAAAAATATTTTAACCTAAGATTAAAACATTTTTCCATAAATACCATAAAGGTTCAAATAAACTCAATAATTCTTAATTGTTGGCAATTAAATATACATTTATTTTCAGAAAATATCGATAGCTACTTGCTTCAAAACGTTCTTAAAATATTATTACATTATTGTACTAAAACATAATCAAATAGTCTAACATGAATTCTGCAGAATCTAATTTGTGACCGTCCGGGTAACAAACATATCAACGGAAGGGTTTCGCAGTGGTATCACAATACAACTGCGGTCAAAAAAACAAAGAGCCCTCGGCAGTTCCAGCAGCGATGCCGCAAATTGTGACAAATTGTGTTATTGAAATTTATGTCCGGCAGTTTTGAGACATAATTGGATGCGGGGAGTCGGCAGCCATGTTACCAAAGTGACGTCACGTGTTCTAATGACATTTATTACGGACAGTTCATTGGCGCCGTCCGTCTCCACATACGCGTCTATATTCGCATTTGATAATTAATTTTCGCGACAATTAAACCAGAGGGAAACTATACAAGAGTCATTTGCATGCGAACCTTTATTCCACTCCTGTTTCTGCCTCCAAGCATAGATGTGCTTATACGGCTGTATTTCAGTTCAAAAGGTGGCATATGGCATTGAAATTATGTACGGACACATAAGTTTCAGACAGTTTTAGGAATAGTAAAGCATGTGGTTATCGTCGGTGTTATAATGTATTATTTAATATGCGTAGAGTCGTTTATGTCTAGAGGCGATGATTACCGCTTTCAATGTAATAGGCCGTTATTTTCTTCGCTGTTTTAATTATATAAAGGGGTAGTGTGCATACCAAAATAAAATTTATCAACGGCTCATTATATTACTCATAAGATATGTTTTTTTCTGCATATTTAATACATAAGTCAGCTTATAAATAAGAGCGTAATTATTAGAGTTACCGCTGGTTTACTGTGTTACAATAGCAGTGGAATTACCTGAAACAATAAAAATAATTATTAGTATTAGATTCATGATGAACATGAATTTATCTATCAAAACGTATTGTATGTTACTATCGAGAGAATGAACTGATATTGACCAGTGTCTCATCAGCGTAAATTTTACTTCAATGAAAGTAATAAATAAATCGTGAGACGTTGTTCGTCACACAGGTGGCAATGTTTTTCCATAGGGGCTTTACGAAGATTGCGACAATAAATAACAGTACAAGTATGAGAGCATACGTCTATCCAATGTGGTGACTCGTGAGGGATTGCGCCAAGATTGACGTCTAAGGGTAATATATATGGCGTTTATTAGATAATTAATCACGAACAAAAGCTAAAATACTGTGAAAAAAAAATTGCGAAGAGCATTTTCGTAAATAGGAAGATTTTGAACGTTTCTAGTAAGCAGTACATTATATAAAAGATATTTCTTTATTGTTGTTTGTAAAAAGTATAATTTGAAGTGTATGCCATTTCCAACAGGCTTCAAATTGAGAGATGAACCTTCTATTAATATGATTAAATTTCTTTTTTATTATTATATTACTATCCTCTCTTGATTACATTAGTGAGGACATAAGCAGTTGTTCTATTGCAGTTGTTTTATTTAATTGTTTTATATAGTAATATTTTATGTATTTATTTCTGTATGTATTTATTGCATGTATATATTTATTTATTTAATATATTATGTGTATTTTTATATTATATGAATTTATCAAATATTGCTTGTTTTTGTCTCTATTAAAAAATGCACCGTCTACGTATTTCTCGGTTTGCCCAATGGTTGACTGGTAGAGAACACCGTCCGGTGGTAAGTCGGCCAAATGTACATAGAATTTTACTGTGCATTAAAGTTTGAATAAATAAGCATTACCCTTTTTTTTTTTTTAAAAAGGAATCTATATGTTAGAATGGAATGACTTTCATGATAAATACTTATTAATTACGAGATTTGAAATAGGAAAATTAGCGCTATAATATAATTTATTTATCACATTAATTGTTCTTAAAAGAATGAGATCTATTCTGGTTATAACTTAGTCTTTCTCGTCATTATTATCTTTTCTTGGTTTTCCCAAGCATTATTCATAGTTTAAAAAAAAAAACAATAAGAAAATTATGCAATATTTTATGTAATTACCTAAAAGGTTAATAAAATCTAATAAATACAGGAAAGGCAAATAGGATTTCTGATTACCTGATCTCTTTTTAGAAGAATTTTCCTTTTTTGTAAAATAATATTTTAGATTTTTTTTGTAACACTAAAAATGAAGATTTATTTAGTATGTGTAAGAAAGTCTATTAAAAAAAAGTCGCATACGTGGCATATCAAGCAAAAACACTGGCGAGGAGAGTCGCTTTCAAACCTGTCAAATGTGACGGGAAAAAGGGCGGGAAAACATCACTATAATGGATGTGTCACCGACGCGAAGCGCCCGATGTTAAAATGTGGCCATATGCACGAACTCGGTAACAACTTTTGGTTTACCACCAGCTTTCAGTAAAAATGTTAATAGTTTTATGTAAAATTTTTGTACCTATATCGCGGTCGTTTATTCAATATCACCTGTCCCGAAATAAGTCATAATCTTGATCATAATATTATAGATAAGCATTCAGTTATATATGGTACTAATGTTAGTAGGTAATACCTCAAAGATTCCGCAATTTAATAATTAAATAATTCCTATTTTTAGTTTCTATCCAATGATCATAGGTTAATGTGATTTAATAGCTAAAATTACAGCCGCAATAAGCATAAGAAATTAATATTAGTCGTGTATGTACGTATGTACATACATATGTATGTTATGTATGTATATACATATGTATGTTAATATTTATTGTTAATTTATTTCCAAAATTTATAATTGGAGTTATTTTTAAATTTAGATAATAACTAAGTTTCTTGAGTATTTAACAAATATTGCATATACGAATAATAGTATATTATATACAAGTAAATATTTAAGCTTAAGTAAAATGTATAAACTTTGATTACGCGATATAGTTTAAATATAGAAATTATAAAAATATAAACCCCCTAAGTCCTTTTATTGCAATAATGTAAATAATATATAGAATGATTTTTAACATTCAGAATGTTGAATGCTAGTTTGTGAAATGAAATAATATATTTTTCGTAATCACAATAATGACTGCGATCGCTCAGTGCGATAGTCAATACGGGTCGGAAAACATGTCCGAATATGATGGATGATGAAAGCGTCGATATGATGAAAGATGTAATCGAGATATCTGTTAATACACTTGCATTTTATACTATTTTACGTAAATTATTTCACCCCAATCTTTATCATTGTAGTTATGAATAGTTGCTATGTTATTTTGATTTACTGAAAATTTCACAGTATTTTCAAGTACCTATAGATATGTATGCAATAAATTCATTCATTTTTATTATTGTGATATAGTTAATTCCATTGTACTATATTTGTTAATTTGCGGTTTGCACTTCAGAACACTTTTACAAACAAAAAATCAATGACAAGCAGGTACTTAGTTGTATTATTTAAAATTTTACTTAAAGCGGTTTAAATTTTTCTTGTCAATAATTAATAGTGACGTTAATAGTACACTACCTATATGACTCATGTTATAGTTAGACATAAAGATTATCCTATATCATTTAAATCCAGAATATCATAATTGACTTGACATTTACCAACCAAGAGCCATATTGGTCGTTATCTGTCACCGCCCCCCACGATCCATTTCACTTGCAACCCGATAGGGGGCGATGTCAGGCGGCGCGACTACTCGCTTCGTAATGGCGACCACGGCCCCTTTTTTTATTACTGACCCGCTAGTAAACAGATCATTCGGGTTTGTGGTGTTATAAAAACGAAATTAACTCGGGCCGGTGGATGTTCAGATACTTCGTCTCAGTGCTTTCCTTACACCGAGCTATGTCACGCACATTCCAATGTTTAAAGCGGCCCTGGAACGTTAAGTAGGGATGGCATTACTTAGTAATCACGTCTAATGACCACATTAAGTCCGAAACACACAGGTACTCGGGAGAATTCAGTTACCCACGAGGGTATTTTTTAGTACAAAATAGAGGGAGGACACTCTGCAGCTATGTCAGTGAAATCAGATAGTGTTTACATTTTTTTTTTTAATTTTGTTTTGTAAGCAGCTAAGGATACCATCATTATTGTATTATGAGTAGAAATATTTAGAAACAGATTTTCGCATTTCCATTTAATTGTTGTTATAGGTAGAAACCTACTCTAGATAGATATCTTTAGTCGAAATGTCCATGTTTATTAC